GGAACTTCTCCCCAAATGGGATTATACCCTAGGTACTGAGGTTAGGATTTTTAACACATAGTTTACAGCGTTAGGGACACAATTCAATCCATAAGAGGAGGAGCAGGTTAACAGAACCATGGGTGTTCATGCATTCTAGACTTATCTGTAGGCATAGATATGAAACATAAGAGTGGAGATACAAGGAGGATTAGGGGAGGGTGGGGGGGAAAGGGGAAATCCATCACAAGGATCAACCTACAACCAACTCCCAGCGGGGCGGATAACAGAAAAGTGGTGAGGGGTGATGGAGGACAATGTAAGTTATGAGAGTAACCATCTATAACTCATCGACTGTTCGTAAGGGAGAGAGAAGAAATGGGGAGCTGACATCATTGCCTCAAGTGGGAAAAGAATGCTTTGAAAATGATGATGGCGGCATATGTGTAAAGGTGCTTGACACACTGGATGAATGTATGGATTGTGATAAGAGATGTAAGAGCCCCCAATAAAAGTATATTTTTAAAAGGAAAGATTGGGGGGGGGAGAAAGATTAAAGAGGAAGATGTCCAGATCTTATTTGGGAATGTCTACTAAGATAACAATGTAGTAAAAATTTGCTAGACTTGTACCAGGCTAAGTGGGAAAAGAGGACTTTGAATTAACTTAGAGACAGTGAAAACATAAAACACATGCTGTGTAAGCCTGTAAGTAGAATATTAAAAAAGTGTCTTCCAATGTGCACACACACACACACATTTACAATCTCTCCCAAAAAAGAAAAAAAGTACAATCTCAGAAACTCTGATGGCAGCAGGTGATTTGGACAAAGTTTCCATAACATAAATGCACTCTGCTATTGGTAGAACAAAAAGGATGTATAGAAATGGAAACTCCACACACACACACACACACACACACTAATAAATAAGCATTTTAAATAAGCATTTTATCAGGTACCTGTAAGATGAAAAAAAAGAAAGGTACACAGGTGGTTCCAGAATATGGCGTCTCTCTCTGCTCATGGAGCAGTAAAAGGTGCGGGTTCTGAGAGGAGCAGAAAGAACTGCCACACCTCTCAGAGTTTCCGCTTGGGGGAGTTTATTGCTGTAAGACTTTATATTATTGTTATATAAACTTTCAGTAGCCATGTTGTTCGAAGATAGGCAAATGAAATCAACTAAAAGTGTCAAGGATCCCAAACACAAGAACGCATCTACGAATACCAAGAACCAAGCCAAACTCACCACCATTGAGTGCATTCAGAGTCAAAGGCACATCGATTATAGATTTGCCTAAATTTCGTGAGCAAGATGCCAGGAAGCAGTGAGGCACCAGAGATATTTGGAGTCAGGAAGGTGGCATGCTAAGGAAGGATGGAGCTTTTGGGGTGTTAAGACATGTAAAGGAAGATGAAAAGAGAGGACTCTGGGTATGGCCAGGGTACAAGTAAGATCTGTGATGATGCCCCAGGTCGCGAGTCCAAGAGAAAGCACCTTTTCCCCCTAATGAACTGAGAGGAGTTACAATCATCATTTCCACCTCACAGTAGTAGAGGGAGAATTGAGATGAGGACTGTGAAAGTGTTTAGGGGATGAGAAAGCAGTAGAAATGATGATGATGACGATGATGCTTTCTTGAAAGATCACTGCCCGAAGCTTCTTCCTCTTCCTGGAGGATGAGAAGATCTCCCAGTCCTCCGATTCCCAATTAGAGGCCCTGAGGCTTTGGCATGAACTGAACAGAATGCAGCCAGCTCTTGCGGACCCACCAAAGGAAGAAGGAACAGGTAGGTCAAGGACCCCTGCTACCTGCTCATAGTCCACATGATTGTCTTGGTTTATTTTTTTCCTTTCTTGGGACTTCAAGGAAATGATTTATTTAAAAGAATAGCAGATGACTATCCTGTGACTTTACCCATAGCCATTTCAATCAAGTTGATTCCAATTCATAGCAATCCTATAGGACAGAATAGGAACAGACACACACAAGCACAAGTCAGACTTAGCAAGAAACTGGGAATTGGTATTATGTAAGGATGAACAAGTATACTGGATAAATTCAACCAAATGGAAATGCCCAGAGGGAGTATGTTTGTGGTCTGGTGCTTGAACAATTCAATGGGCATTAGTGAGCAAAACCAGAGGAGATCATACTAGTCAGAAATGAAGACCAAACTGTGGGAAACGTGAACTGGGGGTTCAAAGAGTTCAGGGTACCTAAAGCTTAGTGACCTTGGTGGGACAAGACCAAACAACTTGAACAGCAGGGTATTATGGGAGAGGCTTTGAAGGCCTTGTCAGGGAGTTTGAACTCTGTCCTCTAGTGATGAACAACCATCCATCGGGTTTTAGAAGATGACTGGATCCAAGTGTGCTTCACGGAGAAGCTGCCATTTAGAGACATGAAAGTATAAGAGAGCATCTCTAGGACTGTGCATGCAAGTATGAGAGGGAAAGAAGAGCCATTAGAGGCCAGCAGACCAGATCGGAGAGTCCTATGGAGATGTAATGCAATCGAAAGGAGGCCAATGTGAGGGGGAAGGAAGACAAGGGAAGTGCTTGGGAGATATTTGAGTGATAATACCAGTTAACAGTCCCAAGGTAAAGAGATCTCCTTGAAGTTTTGAGCTTGTTTTCAGCCAAATAACATATTTTTTACCAAAAGTTGGCTCTAAGAAGGTGTGGCTGGTCAGGGGGATGGTGATAGGTCTTCCCTTGGACATGCTCAGCTTTACTGCCGCACATTTTAGTGGCTTGTTGAGAAGGCGTGTGGGGGCTTACACGTGTCTCCAATGGCTATTGAAGCCATCTGCCAGAAGGGATCAAAAAGAAACCATTTTGAATAAGAGTAAATGAGCTGTGAAAAAACCTATTTTTAACAAGCTGTGGTAGTTACATAATCTTGTGTCAACTTGAGGATATTAAGGGCAAAGGGGTGGAATCTAGCCTGTCAATCAGGTCGCATCCTGATGATGCCTCCTTGTGGGCATGGCCTTCTCATGAGGAGTCCAGGAACTTCCTCTCTTTCTCCCCACAGATGGGCCACACGCTATCTCTTCTTCACCTCCCTATTGACCAGCCATGTGGAGCCACACTGAGACCTGAAGAAGCCATGTGGTGGTGTGGCAGTTACATAATTTGACGTCAACTTGAGAAATAAGTGAATGGGTGGAGTCTAGCCTGTCAATCAGGTCACAGTCTGATGATGCCTCCTTCTGGGCCTGGCCTTCTCATGAGGATTCTGGGAAATTCCTCTCTCTCTGATTCACCTTCCTGTTGAAGAGCCATACACAGAGAGCTGGAGGAGCTACGTGGAGACCTGCACCAACACCGAGATGCTTCTACCAGCCTTGGATCCACAAGACTTTTCACATAGTAACCTATGATCTTCCTGCATTCGGCATCATTGTATGTGCTGCATGAGTCTGAAGAGGAATTTATGAACTAGTATCAGCCTTATGGGCTAATATTAGACTAATGGACTTTATCTGGACTGGGCTGGGATGTTTTCACAATATGTAATTGCTCTTCCATATGAAGCTCTTTCCTACACATACATGTATGTCCTGGATTTGTTTCTCTTGTCAATCCGTCTAACACAAGCAGAGACCTGCACCAGCCTTGTGATGCTTCCACTGCCATTGGATCCACAAGACTTTTCATCCACGGGCCTGTGATCTTCCTGGATTCTGCATCATTGCATGTGGGTACATGAGTCTGAAGACAGATTTATGGACTAGTGTCAGACTTAAGGGCTAATATCAGACTTATGGACTTGATCTGGGCTGGGCTGGGATGTTTTCTTGAACTACAACCACTCTCATAGAAACCTCTTTCTTACACCGATATGAGTGTCAGTGAATTTGTTTCTTTAGTCTACCCCAGTCTAACACAGACAGAATGCTGATACGTGACTCTGCAAGATACAGTCATTGGTGCATAAAAAGGAATCCACTACAAGATCAGTGACTTGGCCTTATACTAAAGCCCTTGTGGAGGTCTCACATGCATCCTAAATCACACCTTGGCATCTGATGGCTCTCTTCACACCATAGGCACACTTGTTTGCAGACACTTGCTGATCACCAAGACATGTTTAAAGATGTTTTGCTTGGACTAAGCCTGTGGGTGAGTAAACTAGAACCCTAGTAGCCATACTTTTCCACTTATCATCAGGTATATGACACCACGTATGAAAGAACATTCTGCAAATACCAACTGTCAACAATTAAAAGATATTTAATATTTCAAAAACTATGTACATATGAAGTCCCTGACAAAGAAAGACCCAAAGATATCCAGTTGAAGTTACTAGTGCAGTAGGTTGGTCAGTCCCAAACCTGATCACTATATTTAAACTTTATATTACACATTGAAGATGCCCTGGGTTTCTAACCAAAACATCACCATTCTGATCCACCAGCAGGTCCCAAGGAGAAAGATGTGGCAGTCTGCTGCTGTAAAGATTTACAGTCTTGGAAATCCTATAGAAGAGTTCTACTCTGTCCTACAGCATGGCCTATCGCAGTGGGTTTTGTTATACCTTGATTTCAACTGAGATGTGCAACTCTAAACTCTAATGCCTTCTTAGCAAAGTAAGTTGTTTGCAGCAGCTTGGCTTATTGATTAGATCATTCACAATGAAAGTGGGGTCAAAGGGATAAGGAAAAGCTTACAAGAGAGATTCCTAGATCTTCTTAACATCATTGGTAAATGGAGCACTCTCCAGCAAGTCCAAGACTGTTATGACCTTCAGATTTGTGTAAATGTGGCAATCAGGGAAAATCATAGAAATGGGTATAGTTAGAAATGCCATGAAGTTAGGAATGGAAGAAAGGGGTTATGAAGAAAGGGAAATGCTAAGAGCAGAGACAGATCAGGACAATCAGCCATGCATATCCACCGTGTGAGGAGGAAATAAGTCCAAAGGAATTATCACTTAATTCCAACTAAGATGTTTTGACTTGTGGTGGCACTCTTATGGTGCATGCACTACTATAATAGAAACAGATTGGGTTTTCAAGGGCAAGAGACTTTGCCACTAAACAGGATCAGGTTTCTCTTCCTGATAAAAAACAAGAATGGGCGATCTACTCTAAACACTGTAGACTCAGGGAGCTGCTTCTCTACAATGTTCGTCCCCGTTGTACTGGCTGCCTCGGTGCCCTCCTCGGAGACCTCTATGTAGGACTTGTGTGCCAGCTTCGACAGATACAGACGGCCACCTGCAGCTATCCCCGAGAGATCTGCTTTGGACTCATCAAAGACATCTTTCAGCCCTAGAGCTTTTAAATAGTTTTTGATTTCATAGTTTTTCTCTATCTTGAACTGTGGAAGAAACACTTCAACATATTGAAACTTCATTTTTCTTGGGTTGGTCCAGTCCATTAGATTCCGAAAGGTCAGTTTATTTTCAATCTGTTGGAATAAGCGAAAGGCGATTTACAATTGTAAGGTTACCAAGTCAACCAAACAACAACTGCATAGACATATGGTATTCCATAATTATTCCCTCCTGGATATTTGTATGTAAGTGTGTGTCTATGTCCATAGAGAAACAGACAGACAGAGAGAAGTCTGTGGGTGGTGCAAATGGTTACATATTCAACTATTAATTGAAAGATGTGCAGTTTGAGTTGACTTGGAGAAACCTCAGAAGAAAAGTCTGCCCTGCTAAGTACAGTTCTATTCTGCCACACAAGAGGGCGCCGTAAGTCAGAAACGACTCAATGGCAACTGGTCTCCATGAGACTCCTTTTCCTGTTACGTGGTTGTCCTAAGAATCAAATGAGGTGATAAACATGACTGGCGGTTCAGAAAAGGCTAGGTAAGGTGATCTCACCATCTGGAGCAGAGCCTAGTGCTCTGATAATTGTAGGTCACAAATTCAGAGAGCCAAATGCAGGAGACGGAAAAGAAGAAGCTCTGAAAGCTGAGATGCAGTAATGGCATCTGGTTCCACTGCCTGCCTGGCCTTGCCTTGAACTGTGCTGGCCTCCTGGTCTTTGTGCCTGGTGTGGGTAAAGCAACCCCACCTCTGCTTTACAGGAAAGAACAGAAGCACAGAGGAGATCAATTGTTTTAATTTTCAAAGACCCAGACTTCAAAGCTCCATTCTATGCTCCATCCCATGGGCATTTTTAAAGGTGCCCAGCCTATCAAAATAGTAGTAGTGCATGAACAAGGATTTCATGGGCACATGCCAAGAAGCCCTAAACTAACTGTAGCCACCAATGTGGAAATTTTGAAAGTCCTAACTTTACAAATATTTAACTCCAATGACACTAAAGGGAGGTAAGATGATCCCAACACTTCAACCAGTAACTGGAACATAGTAGGCTCTCTAAATATTTCTGAAATGCACGAATGAGTAAGTTTCTAATGTTCTAGTGATCTGAAATCCAAAAATTAATGACTCCTAGGGTATCAAGAATAAAAGTCATGGTGCCCGGTACGGGAAAGGGTTGTTTGCTCCTTAGGCAAATGGGACAGGACGGCCACCTTCCGTGGTCATGGCCCGTGGGAGAATGGTGACGGCTCAGCCCTGGGAGCCGGGGAAGCAATGGCTGGGCTGTCTCTCCACCTGAGAGAAATGGACACTTGCCTCCGGACACTTGGATTGGTCCAGTCCATTAGATTCTGAGAGGTCAGCTTATTTTCAATCTGTGGCACTTAGCTAATGAAAACCATCTGCCTTGAGCCTTATTCTCATTTAAAGAGGGGTCCATAATGCATCAAATTGACAGCAGCAACTCAAAAGCGTAGGCAGGAAGCATACGGAGCAGAAGTTTATGTTAATGGAGGAGGGATAATTTGGACAAGAATAGCTGTACAACTTGAAAACTGTAATAAATGTCACTGAATTTTATATGTAGACATTTTTACTGTACATATTTTCAACAACCACAAAAAATGAAATCACTTTTTCTTAATAAAGAGTCTATGAAAAGTTTTATTGTTGTTTATCAACGGTGGAAATGGCGGTAGTAACTTACTTGAGCTATGTCATTGTTGGGCAGTAGGATGTACATGCTTATGCCCCCATTATATTTGAGCTCCAGGACCTTCATGGGTGGGTCCTGAATGACGGACAGATTGAACTTCTGTTCTTGGTGCATCAGGGGGACTTCTTTGCCAGCGCACTGAAAGATAAAGCCCAAAAAAAGGAATCAAGAAAGACTTGAAGTTCACCCCATCTCACAGATTGTCCAAGTGCCATCGATTCTGGCTCAGGTGATCCAGTAGGTTGTTCAAACACACTCCCAGCAAGCAGTACTCACCTCCAGGCATGCCTCTGTGGTAAAGGCATGGGTTTTGAGTCTGGCTGCCTCACTCAACCCCCCAGCTGTGCGACCTTGCTTCCTGGCCGTGTACCGCACTATCTCAACTGCCTAGGGTTGTTGTGACAATGAGGTGACCTAATATATCTCACACTTCACATTGTCTTCCACTGAATGCCACCTCAGAAAGCCTCTGTAGGAGGACTGGAAGGCAGCATTAAAACATCCCACTAAAAATTAAAAAAGAATACCATGAATTTTTCCCTCGCCACAAAGAAAATACAAACTAAGATGATCAAAATGATAGATTTTAAGAACTAAGTCTTGTAACAATAAACATAAAACCCCTGCCCAACATTTAACATTGTACTTTCATTGAACTTGGTGGAAACCCGCTCCATGATGGAAGGCACCATTCGCTGGTTGAGAAATGCCCTGGGGTCTGGTGGGGTTCGTTGCCATCCAGTCAGCTCCAACACAGTGCCTGCAAAGTGGTGATGCTACAGGTTATAAACATTGGGCATGGAGTGGGAGGTTTACATACCTTTGGAGACCGGAAATGGCCCATAATGGTCTCACTCTTGGAGAACGCTGACTCCCACCTGCCTTTGAAATACACAGCATTCACCAGCACCAGCACAGCAGAGGAGCTGATGCTGCCTTCCTGCAAGATGTTCTTGATTTTGCCTTTGGAAAAATCCGTTGTGGAAAATGTTAATTTTTAAAATAAATTTAAGTTAAAAAAACTGCATAGGCATGAGTTCTTTTCCTTTAGCTCATAGTAGCAATGTTGTTGGTGAGGCTCGATGGGAAATCACTGCAGCTTGCACATTATAAAATTAAGCGCACTATCGATTCACGCACAGAGGCTCTGTGCTACACGAGACAAGCACGACCCTTCTCGGTTTGTGGTTTACTGTTTCTGTTTCCAGACAAGGGAGACAGGGTCTTGAGAGATCACGTATTTGTACAAAGATGCACAACAAGAACGTAATGGCAGTTGGATTCCATCCCAGAACTCCAAGTCTTAGAGCCTGTGCTTGTTGGCACCATCCTGCCTTCCTTTAGTGCTTTGATTAGAAACCTCTGGGCGAGAGAGCTCTCCATGCTTAAGCTGACTCATTCACTTGGATGAAGGGCCAATTTCCTCCTTCACATCACACCAATAAGGTCTTTGCTAGACGCAATGCCCTATTCTGGGGAGTTAAACTACAAAGACGGAAGACCTAGTCCATTTCATTATTGGTCTCACACTCCAGCAAATGAGAGGCAAATAATCTAACAACAGTTGCATCAGCTGGCATCGTGGGGTGTGCATGGTGTGCTTTATGAACACAAGTGGCTGTTGTTGTTGTTGTTGTTGTGTTCCATCAAGTTAATTCCGATTCATAGTCACCTTACAGGAGTGAACACAACTGTTCCACTGAGTTCCCTAGGCAATAGTCTTTATGGAACCAGGTTGCCAGGTCTGCCTCCCATTGAGCTGCTGATGGCTTTGAACCTGAAACCTTCTGGTTAGAAGCCTAGAGGTTAACCATGAGGTCATCAGCACTCCTGGAGCACAAGTTAAACCCAAACAGGTCAAACCCACTCCCAGAGGGTGGGTTCCAACTCATAACAAGCTTATATATGGTTTCCAAGACCGTAAATCTGTCATGGCCAGACAGCCTCATCTTTCTCCCAAGGAGCAGGTGGTGCGTTTAAAGTGCTAACCCACAGTGCTGCCAGAGCTGGTTGGAGCACAAACTAGGAGCCCCAACTCTAGCTGGAGCTATGCGAAGGCTAGTTGAGGAGTGGGTAGAACTTCCATCAGGCCGGGGCTCTTTATTGAAAGACATGGAAGTCTCATTAATTGAGTCAATTACCTCTGCTCATCATTAATTTATGAAATGGTCACAATATCTGTTTGTCTTTCAGGATGGTTCCCTGATCAAATGATACAGCATAAAAGACGCAATATCTGAAAATCATAAAGTATTAAGGGAGTCCTCACGGTGCATTAGTTAACCGTTCTAAAACAAGCAAAAGACTAGCAATTCAACCCCAGCAGTCATTTCCTGGGACAGAGGTGTGTCAGCCCCTTTCCATGAGGATCACAGTCTTTGGAACATTCTGGGGCGGTTCTACTCTGTCTTGCTGGGGAGCTATGAGTTGGAATCAACTTGAGAGAAATGAACTTGCTATTTAATTTCTTTTTAAAGTATTAAAATTACTCACAACCACATTGCATTTAAATAACAACGATCATTACTTAGAATTACAAGGGGTTGGTTCTGACACGTGGGAAAATCTCTCAGCTTTCAGGGTGACCTTTCTCGGGACTTCTAAAACTCACTATCAATGAGTTGATTCCAATAAACTGTGAGCTGACAGGACAGAGGAGAACTTGCCCTTTGGGTTTCTGAGACCAAGTCTTTCCAGAAGTAGGCAGGCTTATCTTTCTCCTGCACAGTGAGTGATGGGTTTGAACCACTGCTCTTGTGGTTAACAGCTCAAGTCACAGTTCACCACACCACCAAGGATCCTTTCTCAGAACTTGCACAACTACAGATTTTCTCCCCAAATAGTCCATGTCACTCACCATGTGTATTCTTTTGAATCCACTGATTTATTTGATGTCTGGTGTTTTCTACATCATTTGTAAAGTCAACCCGTTCCACTTTGGCATTGTATAAACTTTCGGCACAATCGATGTAGTTCTATAAATAAGAATACAGTTTTGGCATTTACAATTGACCAGCAACTAAACACCTCCACCAAAAACCAGACCTACGTTACAGTCAAGCTGCTCCCAACTCAAGACTATGCATCGTGTGTGGCAGAGTAGAACTGGGCTTCAGAAGGTTTTCAATGACTTTTCGGGGGAGGGAGTGGGATGGATGGGGAAGTAGATCACCAAATTTTTCTTCTGAAGTGCCTCTTGTTGTCCTCGAACTTTTGATTTGTGGGTTAGCTATCAAATCCTTAATCATTTGCACCCCCCAGAGACTCCAACTAAGCAAATAAGAAAGGTATTTTGGCCTTGGCTCTTCATTCCCACTTGGGAACTGAGTCCTGCCTCAAATTGCAGACCTAGCCTTTCTCAACCAATTGGCCACAGTGCATCGAGCCCTGTGCACGGCTCTCTTCTTTCTTGGTGCCCTCTTTCTGCCACATCCTCGTGCTCTCAGAGGGCATATTCCCTAGAGAATTCCTCCTTGCTTATGGAGAAATATTTATTCCAGGCTTAGCTTTTGAGGAATCCAGACTAAAATAAACAATTTACAGCTGGCTATATTTTGTCCAAGAGAATATTTTGGAGTAAACTGAGCTCTTGTCAATACATACAACGTTGCCAGCATCAGAGAGGTCTATTTCCCACCCTTTGTCAGATCACCAAGCACTACCACCCCATCTCCAGGGTGACTACTCTCCTGACTTCCGATACCATAGATTAACTTTGTCTTTGGACTTTAAAAAATAAAATCACAGTATATATCCTTTTTTGTGTCTTGTTCTCTTAGTTTGGGGCATGTGAAATAACCTATTGGATATAGGATCGGCCTATTCATTTGTAATATTATATGTGTATATGATTATTTATATGCTTTATAAAGCATATAATTGTGTTTGGCTGTTTTCAGTTTTTGTTATATTAATGATACCAGTGTAAAGCTTTTCAATGCCCATTTGTACATACCATATATGCATTTCTGTTAAGAATATTTCCAGGAGTAGAATTTCTGGGTCACTTGGTACATGGATGTTCAATTTTAGTATATTTTGAAAAGCAGTATTCCAGTGTTAGTTGACAATTTCACCAGATGAATGTGAGAGTTCTGGTGGCTCCACAATGTCCAAGACTTGGTTTTGTCATTCATTTCCACTTCTGCCTTTCTCATGACTATGAAATGGATCAACTTATGATCGAAACATTCATTTCTCTAACAACAAAGGAGGTT